TTATAAAAATCTTGGTGATCCCGGGGTATGAGATGGATCTACCAAGCTGGGCTTCCACACGATCCTCCTCCCGCCGTCCGTCGCGCCCGTCGCGCCCGTCGCGTCCGTCGCGGCCGTCGCGCTCGCCGTGCCGGCCTTCGTGGCGCCCGTGGCCGTGGCCCTCGCGGTCTCCGTGGCGGCCATCGCGGCCGTGGCCCTCACGACCTGGTCGCGAAAAACCAGGGGAGTTGAAGCATTGGGGTCTACTACCCTCTGGTAAACATACCAAAAACTATGGAAAATCACCATTTTTAATGGGTAAATCAACTATTTCTATGGCAATTTTCAATAGCTATGTTTATTTACCAGAGGGTAATCCCTTCCCAATATGAAACACCCCCTGGAAACATCTAGGAACAATGGTTTTTATGAAGGAATTTCCACGTAATTGGGACCATTGAAGGGGTATGAGGGGATTAACCTTCAATATCTTCAATCATCCTCAACAAAGAACAGAATGGAGTTGCGGTAAAGTATGGGAGTCTGACAATCTGTAATCAACAAAATCTGCAAATATATTCAACCAGGGGATGCTAGGTACACTAACTGTAACCAACAGACATGTGTTATTATGATTTATTATGTTGTTCAACCCACAAACTGGCCATCTCATTGCCAATCTTAGATACCCTGCAAAAAATCAAATTCTTGGCTGGTGAGCGTAGATATTCCCATTGATACCAAAAGACTAAAGGATTAAAGTACCCATCCAAGATTGACCTAGATCTTAAGCCCCAAAAACGGAACCTCCCAAGTCCCCCTGCCACGTTCCCGGTCGCGATCTCGACCCTCACGCGTCTCGCGGCCCTCGCGACGGTCGTCGCGGGTCTCCCGGCGATCACCTGGCGGCTCATGGTGGCAAAACCATGGGGCAACTTCAGCTTTACAGGGATATGCTTGGAAGATAACTTGATAGAAGTAAGACTGGTTGGTATAACTAGCAGGATATAGTGGGATATGTGCCGTCACAGGTTTAATGATGATTTGTAATTAGTTTCTGCTTGGTGGTTTGAACCCCTCTGAGAAATATTAGCCAGTTGCGATGATTATTCCCCAAAAATGGAAAAACAAAATTGATGTTCCAAACCACCAACCAGGTTTGGTTGTTGGTTTATTACTAGGTTGTTTTATGACTGGGGTAGGGTACTGCCTTGAAAGATTCTTGCGGGATGGGCTCCATCATTGGATCAACGGTCTTGTCTGAACCTAGGGCAACCCCCAAAGCACACGGTGTTGATCATGTTTATCTTTATTGCCTTCTGAAGTTGCCATCAAATGAATATAATGCCAACACCGGATTAATAACCCCCCCCCAGAAGGTAGGGAGGTACCTTCTGGCTAGTTTTCTTGACGACCCTTTAATAATAAGCAACTCTGAACCATAAAACTTTGGATATGGCTTACGTCAATTAGATCTTAATAGAATTCCATTGGATTTGTTAAAATTTCATGGATCAGAAAGGTGGTTGATTAATCAGGGGCAAACCCTGGTTATTATTAATGGGGGACATGGGCTCATGGGGGGTACCCTTTGGGAGCTATCCAAACTGATGATTTTTATAAAGATTTTAATTAGAAATCGATCATTTGGGGGATAGTTGTTTTTTGAAATTTTCGATGATCAACTTAAACCTGGAGTATAACAATGATGATTAAAAAAAAAGGTCAAAAACAATTGGAAATAAATAGAATTGGAAATAAAAAATGTTGGATAAAAAAATGATTTCCGAAGTGGTTGTTGATTAATCGGGGGTAGACCAAAAAAAATATTAATCCTGGGGGACCACCTGTTTTTAAATTACAAAAAAAAATTGGGCAGTTGCTGTTGATTAATCGGGAGGGCATTATTAATCCTCACTTGACATTAACATTGTATAATATTGTGCTACAGCCACTTCTCATTTTTGGAAAAACCTGCTCATATTGTTGCTCCGGCACATATCTTGGAGATATAATGCCTCAATACCCACCATATCTCAGAATTTAGACAGTAATTTGCCACAAAACCATTATTTCTGAAGAAACCCGGCCATTTTGTACACCTGCCATTCGCCCTTTCCTTTCTGACGCATCAGCTGGCAACAGTTCGTCCACTTGCCTGCACTCCTCAACCCGCGGCCAATGACAAGAGAATCTTTTTCAACTGGTAATGCTATGGCCTGGTGCCCCTTCGACCGCATGCTTATGAGGTTGGATTGGAGTAATCATTAACGGAAATTGACGGGCAACCCATGGATTGCTTTTTGTCTAATCGTTGACAACGACGTATGTGAAACCATGGCTTGTACATGCTTTAAGTGTCAGGACTCTAGAAGGGTCTAATTCTGCGGACCATGACTTGGCTCCCAAAATTAAGAATTAGATCCAACACAAACCGTGATTTTGTTTCTGGGTATTCAATCTGCATATTATAATATTATAATGTATATATCATATCATATCATATCATATCATATCATATCATATATATATATACAGTATGCGACTTTAAGGAGAAAAGGCTCCATCAACCCGACCAGCCCTAATCAACGAGACATCCTGTATATGCTACTTGGAGGAAAAAACATGTTCAGCTTTCAGTAGGGCTCAGTAGACATCTTCCTGGGAAACACCTACTTGGATGTATATCCCAGTTCGTCGGTGGTTTTCTAACCCATACAAGTTGATCTCAGAACATTCCACAACACACATAGGTTATTTATAACCCATATAAGTAGAACTCAGAATGTTCACACACACACATGTTGTTATAACTAGGTCATAATATGATTAATATGGTTATTGACAACTTGCTGACTGGATGCCCCAAAGTATCCCAAAGTAACCCATGAAGCAACGGGCTGGGCATGGCTGGGCAGCCCCAAGTCACTGCCCATCGGGCCAGCGCCGTGCAGGCCAAGAGCCGAGCGGAAGGTGTTCTCATCTTGGCGTGGCACACCTTTAGTAGATAACTGGTTGGTGGTTTTAACCATCTTGAAAAATATTAGCCAATGGGAAGGATGACAACCCATAAGTTGTGGAAAATAAAAAATGTTTGAAACCACCAACCAGATAATGTGTTAAACCCGGTTTAACCTATGCAGTAACCAATAGAAACGCCCATTAACATATCCAATCTTTCATGCATATTACAAAAAAGAAACACCGAAACACCCATTACAGATATTCCCATGTAAAACCAATTGCTGAGTTGCTGCAAAACCACGTCCTGGAACATGGTTTCCAGTACCCCCAGGTCAGTGGGGATGGTTTAAGCTGATGCCTGGTGGGGTGAGAAGTTGACCCTGAGGCTACAGTTTGTTTCATCAAGCAACCAAACCAGGTTTAAATATGACTTGGCAACTGCTCTGGCAAATGGCTGGGGTGGTTCGGACTGCAAAATGAATCCCGGGGCGACCAATCTTCCCATCTTTGATGTTTCACATCATTCGAACCTCCCAAGCAATTGCACCATTCATGGCTCGCTATGGCCAAGCAAACAGTGTGTGTGTGTTTGTTTCATCTACCGGCAAATGGTATTGCCATGAGATGTCGACGATTTATGAAGAACACCGTGCCACTACAGGAGCTTGCAGAAACGCACAACAATGGGCCGGCTTTGAGTGGCTTCCCCCAACAAAAATCCCAAGGGTTTCAGTGAACTTATGCATCTTATGCCGTGTTTTCATGCATGGAAATGCATACATTTAGTACATCTCAGCATCAAATGGTATCATTACTTCAGGTGGTTTGGGATCTGTCACGATGCTGAAGATTCCAAAGCCCTCAAAGGGTTACAGGGGACCATCTTCCAAACCGGAATGGACATCATGGACATCACATGACTATCAAAAAAGGCTAGACACGTCAATGGGGACAATTTTGATATCCAGTGAAGCTAGGGGTAAGTAGCTTATTTTCAGACAAACCCATGTAGGTATCTTAAAGTGTTCCATCCGAAATTGCAGTAATGTTAGCCAGGTTGAAGAATAGACCCTAGTTGATTAATTCGGGGGCACCTCCCAAATCCTCGCAAGACAATGACAGTCCGCTACTACTAAAGTGGCACACCACCAATGAAACAACCCAGAGGTTGCATAAAAATGCGGGGTTGACATTGAACAATGTTGGGGGTACCATTTTTATTCAACAAATAGTTGGTACTGTCATCTGTCATCATTCGAAAAACAATTGTTCAATAGTTGGTACGTTGACATTACACACCCCGAATAGTTGGTAATCATTCAGTCCAACTGTTGAGGGTACCCACTACAAAACTATGCGGTCAACATTGCGCAATCTCGGGGCTAGCGACAAAAAACGCAGCCATGGACTCGAAATGGGCAGGCTGCAAGTGCAGGTGCTCAGGCCTCAAGGCCTACAAAGCCAGGAAAACCTTGAAATGAACATATGAAATCATGATTATACGCAGAGTTTCTCATTTCCATCTGTTGTCTTGTTGGGGGACAGTCATTACACAAATTATTTTGAATTGATTATCTAATTAAGGGCACGCACATGACCATGAAGGTTGTCCCTAGTAGAATGACCATGAGAGTTTCCATCAACATTCGACTCCCCTTCGGACCGGCGGGAACGTCATCTCAAATGGCCACCACGACAGCTGGAGAGTCAGTTTCATCTCATGACTAACCACAGATATCCTGTAAACAGAAATGACCACGAGTTAGTCTGGTCATTAAAGTGTGGTCCCCCGGTTCTGAGCAGCTTGTAATCTGGCTGGTGGTTTCAATCCCCCTGAAAAATATGAAAGTCAATGGGAAGGATTATCCCATATATTATGGAAAAGAGAAAATGTTTGAAACCACCAACCAGTAATGTAACTCCCATTAACCACAAATATATTTACCATAAACCCTAGTGTACGTTATTCACCAACTTAGCGAACCAGCTAAATTGCACCTTGTAACTTCCCCTGTCCACGGCAGCTCTGGAAAAAACAAACTCGCAATTTGGTCAGCTCAGTCGCTGGGCATCGTAGCTGGACCTGGACAGCTGTGGATGCGAAATCCGCCTGGTATATGGGCGAAATTCCATTATATATACCATCCAATTATATAATTATATATAATCATATAATTATATATACATATGTGTGTATGTGATATACATATATATATATGTGTGTGTGTGATATATATATATACATGATCCCGTCATTTACAGTGTTTCAAAGCCACCAGTAGTTAGCAGTAGGTCCATGTCGCAAACTGTTAGATTTGTTGGATCAGCATCCCAGGAATCGTAGTGGAAGTGCCCTGGCTCGTCTGAAATAACCAGGAGGAAAAAAATAAGGGGCATACTTCATTCATGGTTATTTCATGGGAACACATAATCGAATGGGAACACTTCGTCTGAAATAACTATATTGTGTATGCACACGTCATTCATGGGAACACATAATCGAATGACACACCCAATGTGCCCCCCCTCGATGTTTCAAGAAACCCATGTTCATAGCTCATGGCACAACTACTGCATTTGAATGTGCGTCCCAGCTGGTATGTGGCCAATCTTGCCATGGTAAAACTCAGTTAGGCTATAAATTGGACTAGCGGTGGTCAAGTTGTTTCATAACTAGGCTGGCTGTTGGATTTGTGGATATTGTATGCTGGACATATCTGGTTGAGATACTCTGTAGCAGTTCACAAGAAAGTTCAGCTCGCCTTCCCATTGAAATTCACATTATTTCAAGTGACGTGGTTCTAATTTACTCATATTTACTCAGATATAAGGCTTTGTCTGAAAATAGGCCCTCCCCAAAATCCCATGGTGTGGAAATAGATGTCCTTACCAACATAGTCATAGATTGGGGGTTGTATATACGACCAATTTTTGGATACACCCACATATCAGACTTTAGCCTTTATATAAATTCTTTCCCTGTATATCCACCTGATATCCCACGGTTTACGGTCATTTTGGATGGTTTAAAAACATCTCCCATTATTTCCATTCTACTTCACTAAATATATTGCCAACTAATACCTATACATATTCCATTAGTACATAATTTGTGAATATTCCATGAATATATCCAATTCAATCCTGGATCAATGGTACCCTCTGGTAAACGTTTACATACCTATGGAAAATCACCCTCTTTAAGAGGTAAATCAACTATTTCCATGGGCCATTTTCAATAGCGCTGCCACCTGGCACTTGCCACTCCGCGGGGTGCCACCAGGCGTCCCTCCGTGAGTCGGGGGGAGATGCCCAAGAGATGGCAAGTGAAATGACATTTTCATGGCAAAAAAACACTCATTGGGAAAGGAAAAAGGGGAAAAAACCATGGTAAATCATGGATTGTTTTTGTGAAATATCGGGAATTCAATATACGACTTGAGTGGTGACAGTTTGCGGCAATTTCGTCAACATGTTCATGGGAAACATCATGATCAACCATGACTACAAGAAGTATTGCCGGGAAAAAAATAGGCTTTGAACCAAGGATCAACCAATGGGTATCCCACCTTGGGGCAGACCCAGTGTCTCCGAAGACATTGCCAAACCCAGTGGCCAGCAGCTTTCGGTGATGTTTCAGGGTGGGGTCCCCTAGATAGCTAAGTTAGCTTACAACTTATAACTTGGCTCACCAGGGTTTATGGGGATATCGGATATAACTATCGGTACTGAGGTTTTTAAAACCACTTATATCTGGGGGGCCTCAGCCTGTATGTAGCAGCTATCTGGCAGTTCTAAAATCGAAACAATCAGCTCCGTGACCCCATGTGTTAAAGTGACAAGCCACATTCTTCAAAATGCCACAGGACCATGTAGAAGCAAGAAAGATGGAAAAGCACTTGCGTCATGCCCAAGCAAAACCAAAAACAAACTATAGCACATTTAAATTTAAGACTATCTAAAATAAACAAATTGCAATAAACATCCTTTTCTGAACTAGACATAAAACATGGCAAACAAATGAAAAAAGACACGCGCTCTACTGGTTGGTGGTTGAGCCACCCCGAAACCATCGCCATTGGATGTGCTCTGCGCCTTCCGGGGCTCTCGGGTGGAACCTGCGACATTGGAGGCAGGATCTGGAGACAGAGCCTAAACATAGCAACTCCCCCCCAAAAACTCTTTTAAAAAGACATCTATCATATAAACAATAGTAAACACATCTATTATTCAAAAAACGCAAATAGTGATCAATTGCTCGTCTATTATACATACTTGGATGGCTCTATCCATCTTTTTGGTGCGTTCCATTTTCAGCTACAGCCGGGGCCCTTCGATCCCACACCTGTATCAGCTGCCAGGAATCGTTCTTCAGCAGCTGTTGTTTCACGGCACCTCTCCCCTGACGAGTCTTTAAATGGGGGATGCAGTTGAGGTGAAGAAAATTGGTAAAACCATGGGTTATATAAACACTTTAACTAAACCATTCATGGTTGTATACGCCTAGAACTATAATTGTATAAGCACTTATGGCTTATATACTGTAATTATCCACTTTCCAACTGGAACTGTGCTTCCAAACATGGTTTCCTAGTTACATAAATATTCCTATATATCTATTCCAGAAGCAGGCCGTCCCGTGGCCCCAAGATAGCCACAACGGGGAATCCGTGGGACATCTTCAATTTTTCCAGAAGATTTTAGGGTGTTCTAATGGTGTTTTAATGGTGTTTAAAAGTGTTTTAATGGCGTTTAGTGTAGGTTTCATTTCCGCAGGAATTGACCCATCCATGGTAACCATTCAGCAAGGTTACTCTGAAGAGATTTGGAATGACTTGTGCCACACAACTTTCCAGGCCACTGGCTCCCTGGCCTTGTATGCTTGGAAGTGGGTATCCAAACCTCATCCCCACCCTGAACTGGGCAAAAATATGAAAACATGCCGGAGTTGGAACATCTTGCGACCAACTGCGCCAAATCCATCGGATTTGAAATATCTATAGAACCTAGGAGTTCTGAACATTCGGTTCTTGATTCCATTCCAGATCAGTTACGCTCCAGTAAACTAGCATGGATATTTTTTTTCACTGTTTACTAAGCATTGCCAATCTTAGATACCCTGCAAAAAAATATTTTTTTTGCTGGTGAGCGTAGATATTCCCATTGATACCCTGCAAGACTAGTTAGGATTAAAGTATCCATGTAAGATTGAGCTAGCAAGTAAATCATCAGCAATTGGTGGACTTCCAGCCATGGCCATGATTCCCAGTACAGCCACGCGCCACGTCGAACTGGTGGGACCTTGGGTTGAACTCCAGCCTGCTGCAATCCATCATTCCTTTGGTCCAGTTAGTGTACGGTTGGTAGATCTAATCCATGCAGTGAACTACAATAGATTCTAAAAATCCAGCTGGAATACTATTGATTATAAATAATTACTATAAAAAAGTTAAAACATGTTATAAATACTATTAGTATACTATTAGTGAAATACTGTACTGATACTATTCCCATACCATCCCAATGTGTAAGTTCCTCCTGATGCCGTTGAGCCAACTGGGACGCCGCGACAAACCAGGATGCCTTGGGCGTTGGCGGAAACCCGCATCCTTCAGCCCGAAGAAATACTACAGCAACCCTCCCATAATGCAACCCTCCCATTCTTTTTGGGGATGACTATTGACGGTCATATCGCTCGGACTGATGGGAAAATCACGTGGCCTAAGCAGCTGACCTCATCTAAGAAAATGAACCCAGCACCCAGCTACCCGATCCCATGGTGGAATTCACTTGCTGCTCTGGGCAAATTCTTGGAATTCACACACCTAAAAAATTTTGGGATCTTGTCCCTAGCCATCATCTATGGTGAGGTCAGATAAAGAGGTCATAAAAGTCTCCAGACCCACGCGGATCATCATCCCAAGTCCATTCCACCCAACTATCATGTCATTGGGAACCTCTCTGTTCCTTGCCCAAATCTCCCCATAGCTACTGGTTGGTGGCTTCAACCCCTCTGAAAAATATTAGTCAGCTGGAATTACTATTCCCAATGTATGAAAAATGATAATGTTCCAAACCACCAACCAGGCCATCATAGCTCGAGAATACGGCTACCACCATAGCTCCGAAGCATCTGAGGGGAGAGCTCTGCAGAAGCTCGCGGAACTCCATCAGGACATGGCCGTCTCCCCTGTGACACTGAGGGCTGTTCGAGGTTTCACTGTAACCACCGTCAGTTGGTTAATACCATAGTTATACCATAAACCCAAAGAATATCCCCAACAGCAAGGAAGCAGTGGCCGCCCAATGTTTGTAAGAACATGGTGCATGCAACAGTTTACTTGTTGATGTCCGCTGTGTTCGAATGTATGACTCATTGTGCATCATATCATGCACATTAGTTCATCCGCATGACACTGTATGCGTACGTCTTGTACATTCCTGTGGTTGGGTACGCATCACATCATACCTATTTAGGTCGTACGCAAAACATGATGATGATCGTCTTATGAGTCTATCCATCGTTTCAAAAAAAAACTGACAATAACTATACAACATCGCGCAGTATCATAGAACAAACAAAATCAAAGCAACATGAATAATATAGAATAGTTGGTTTACGCGTTGTACAGTCCTGTGTTCGACTACGCATTCGTTGATGCGCATGATCTCATATGAACAACGTGGTGTCGACCCTTTTTTGAAGAATGGTTTGTAACCAGATAGAATCATGGAGCAAAATGTCAACTGTGAAACACTGCTTTGCCTCCCGACGCATCACATCATGCGCATGATCTCATACGCACGACTTGATGTAGGTGGTTTTTTGATTGCATCTCTCACGGGTGTCGTTGATTAATCTCATTGCAGAAGATACTGCATAAAAGGGTTTACAGACATTATTCTCTGCATTATGCTTTCCTAGTTTGCACTTTTGGTCCCAGTAGACTCCATGACATGAGGTAAGTAGTTGGTTTTCTGCTGCTGTTGGAAACCTACTGTTGCTTGATGTTCTGCGCCAATGCTTCGTAAGACAGCGTATCAATTTGTTGGTACAAGATCCCTCCACATGAGGACTCACTTGTTCTTGCTTGGCGCCTGGCATTGAGGCGCCTTCATTGCTGCACATTCTTGCTTTAGACGTTGGAGATGTGCCTGGCGCAAAACTGCAAGATTTGTTGTTCAAATATTTTGAAAATTCAGTTGCGAGCAATTAGTTTCTAGAAGAAACATTGCGCAACAATTTCTTGCTTGTGAGACTGTGGGTTTCGAAGTATGGTTTTGAGCCCAGAGGCATTCACTTATCCAAGATTGTCCATTCTCTTCAAAACCTTGGGCCTGAACTGGATCATTTCTTCAGGTTGCGATAAAAATGCTTTGTTTGACACGCTGGGGCTTCATTGCTGCCCACAGTGCCAAACTCAGGCAAATGGTTTTCAAACAGAACACGCTTACCTGTTGCAATTGGACAAGTTGTTTCCAAAACATCCAGCCTTACGGCCCGCAAGTGTTTATCACATTTGTTTCCCACTATCATCGCCAGGTATGTTACATAACGCCGCCTCAACGATTTCAATGTGTTGTCTTGCAGCCAAAGACCAAACAAACATCTTTTTGCCTCAATGCAAACAAAAAAGGCTTTGTTGTGCATGCATGCTGTTGCCCAAGCAAGTTGTTCTTTCCAAGCAAGTAAGCCGAAGCTTCAGTAATTCTTTGATATAAGCAGCAGGGATGTTTGTTGACCTCATGGCCGATTCAAACATGTGCATGCAAAAGTTGTACTGCTGCGTGGTTGCATTACCACCGTCAGGATACATTCAAACTATTACCAACTATTCAGGTTTGTAAGTTCTGACACCAAATCTGCAAATCTGGCAAGCGAGCCCTTCAAAGGCATACAAGGGATTTCATTTCTGCTTCGCCGAAAGGTGGCACCTGAAGCATTCAATGTGTGTCTTGCATGTGTCAAATGAATGTTCGCTGTGGTGGAGGGATCTTGTACCAACAAATTGATACGCTGTCTTACGAAGCATTGGCGCAGAACACCAAGCAACAGTAGGTTTTCAACAGCAGCAGAAAACCAACTATTTACCTGGTGCCATGGCGTCTACAACCAAAATCATGCGCAAAATGTGACGCGTCAGGAACCAGAGCAGTGTTTCACAGATGATTCCTTCTTCATGATTCTATCTGGTTACGCACCATGAATTCAAATCAGTCTACATCATGTCGTACGTAGGAGATCATGCGCATCGACGAATGCGTAGTCGAACACAGGACTGTCCAACGCGTAAACCAACTCTTTCTTATTATTCACGTTTCTTTCTTTTTGTTTGTTCTATGATATTGTGCGACGTTGTATAGTTATAATCCAGATTTTTTTTGAAACGATGGATAGACTCTTTTTAGACTCATAAGACGATCATCATCATGTTTTGCGTATGAAATACAAATATGGTGTGATGCCTGCCTACGCACAGAAATGTACAAGAGGTACGCATACAGTGTCATGCGGATGAAGTATAATGTGCATGATATGATGCGCAATGAGTCATACATTCGAACACAGCTGATATCCATTGCATGCACCATGTTCTTACAAAAACTGCGCGGCCACTTCTTCCTTGCTGTTGGGGATATTCTCTGGCCTTTTTTTGTTTCATCACAAGGGCCTTTTGCACCATTCAGGTGTCTTGATTGAAAACCTCGGGTACCTTTACAATGATTCCTTGGAAAACTTGAGACATTTACTTGGGAACCTTGGCAAGCTTGAGGAAACCTTTACAATGTAACCTTGGAAACCTTGAGAACATTTACAATGTAACCTTGAGAACCTTTACTTGGAACCCTTGGGAAGCTTGGGAACCGTGGGAACCTTGAGGCACTGAGGCAACCTTTACAATGCAACCTTGGCAACCTTGAGAACGTTTACTGGGGAACCTTGAAAACCTTGAGCGAACCTTTAGACTCTAACCTTGGGAACCTTGAGGGAACCTTGACAATCTAACCTTGGGAAACTTATAGAAACCCTTACAATGTCACCTTGGCAACGTTTACTTGGAAACCTTTACATTACTTTTACCTTAGTAACCTTGGGAACCTTGACTTGGGAACCTTGAGTTGGAAAACTTGGGAACCTTGAAAACCTTTACAATGCAACCTTGGGAACCTTGAGAACCGATACAATGCAACTTTGGGAACCTTGACAACATGTACAATGGAACCTTGAGTGAACCTTGAGGGAATCTTGAGGGAACCTTGAGAGAACCTTGAAGGAACCTTGAGGGAACCTTGACAATCTAACTGTGGGAACACTTGGGAACCTTGAAAACCTTTACAATGCAACCTTGGGAACCTTGAGAACCTGTACAATGCAACTTTGGGAACCTTGGCAACATGTACAATGGAACCTTGAGTGAACCTTGAGGGAACCTTGAGGGAACCTTGAAGGAACCTTGAGGGAACCGTTAGAATCTAACCTGGGGAACCTTGAGGGTCTGATGAAGCGCTGTTCTGGCAGAGCAAAAGATGCGAAAAGTGCAAAAAGGTGCAAAAGGCCTTTTCTCGCTCACGTGGCTATGCCTTCATGGCATTTGATGACCAGCTGGTCATTGCAAAGGGCGCTCAAGGGATCCGCTGTTGATCCCATTTGATAATGAAAAAGCATTGGTTGGTGAATGGCTCATGTGCAGGCAAGGCCCAAAAGCACAAACGGAATGACTTGAGTGAAATTCACAGACGGAACCTTTACAATCTAACCTTGGGAACCTTGATGAAAGCTTTACAATCTAATTTGGAACCTTTACTTGGGAACCTTGAGGAAACCGTTACAATCTAACCTTGGGAACCTTGAGGGAAGCTTTACAATCTAACTGGGAACCTTTACTTGGGAACTTTGGGAGCCTTGGGAGCCTTGGGAACTTTGGGAACCTTGAGAACCTTGGCATCCTTGGGAACCTTCACTTGAGAACTTTTACTTGGGAACCTTTACTTGGGAACCTTTACTTGGGAACCTTTACTTGGGAACCTTTACTTGGGAACCTTTACTTGGGAACCTTTTCTTGGGAACCTTTGCTTGGGAACCTTTACTTGGGAACCTTCACTTGGGAACCTTTACTTGGGAACCCTTACTTGGGAACCCTTCTCTTGGGAACCTTCTCTTGGGAACCTTCTCTTGGAAACCTTTACTTGGAAACCTTTACTTGGGAACTTTTACTTGGGAACCTTCACTTGAGAACCTTCACTTGAGAACCTTTACTTGGGAACCTTTACTTGGGAACCTTCACTTGGGAACCTTTACTTGGGAACCTTTACTTGGGAATCTTAACTTGGGACCTTTACTTGGGAATCTTTACTTGGGAACCTTTACTTGGGAACCTTTACTTGGGAACCTTCACTTGGGAACCTTCACTTGGGAACCTTTACTTGGGAACCTTTACTTGGGAACCTTTACTTGGAAACCTTTACTTGGGAACCTTTTCTTGGGAACCTTCACTTGGGAACCTTTACTTGGGAACCTTCACTTGGGAACCTTTACTTGGGAACCTTTACTTGGGATCCTTTACTTGGGAACCTTTGGGAACCTTCACTTGGGAACCTTTTCTTGGGAACCTTCACTTGGGAACCTTTACTTGGGAACCTCTACTTGGGAACCTTTACTTGGGAACCTTTACTTGGGAACCTTCACTTGAGAACTTTTACTTGGGAACCTTCACTTGGGAACCTTTACTTGGGAACCTTCACTTGGGAACCTTCACTTGGGAACCTTTTCTTGGGAACCTTTACTTGGGAACCTTTTCTTGGGAACCTTTTCTTGGGAACCTTTACTTGGGAACCTTTTCTTGGGAACCTTTTCTTGGGAACCTTTACTTGGCAGCCTTTGCTTGGGAACCTTCACTTGGGAACCTTCACTTGGGAACCTTTACTTGGGAACCTTTACTTGGGAACCTTCACTTGGGAACCTTTACTTGGGAACCTTTACTTGGGAACCTTTACTTGGGAACCTTTACTTGGGAACCTTTACTTGGGAACCTTTACTTGGGAACCTTTACTTGGGAACCTTCACTTGGGAACCTTTACTTGGGAACCTTCACTTGAGAACTTTTACTTGGGAACCTTCACTTGGGAACCTTGCTTGGGAACCCTTTACTTGGGAACCTTTACTTGGGAACCTTTACTTGGGAACCTTTACTTGGGAACCTTCACTTCTTTTACTTGGGAACCTTCACTTGGGAACCTTTACTTGGGAACCTTTACTTGGGAACCTTTACTTGGGAACCTTTACTTGGGGGAACCTTTACTTGGGAACCTTTACTTGGGAACCTTTCTTGGGAACCTTTACTTGGGAACCTTTACTTGGGAACCTTTTCACTTGGGAACCTTTACTTGGGAACCTTTTCTTGGGAACCTTTTCTTGGGAACCTTCACTTGGGAACCTTTACTTGGGAACCTTTCTTGGGAACCTTCTCTTGGGAACCTTCACTTGGGAACCTTTACTTGGGAACCTTTACTTGGGAACCTTTACTTGGGAACCTTCACTTGGGAACCTTTACTTGGGAACCTTTACTTGGGAACCTTTACTTGGGAACCTTTACTTGGGAACCTTTACTTCTTAACTTGGGAACCTTTACTTGGGAACCTTCACTTGGGAACCTTTACTTGGGAACCTTTACTTGGGAACCTTTACTTGGGAACCTTTACTTGGGAACCCTTGGGAACACTTGGGAACCTTTACTTGGGAACCTTTACTTGGGAACCTTCACTTGAGAACTTTTACTTGGGAACCTTCACTTGGGAACCTTTACTTGGGAACCTTTACTTGGGAACCTTTACTTGGGAACCTTTACTTGGGAATCTTTACTTGGGAACCTTTACTTGGGAACCTTTACTTGAGAACCTTTACTTGGGAACCTTTACTTGGGAACCTTTACTTGGGAACCTTCTCTTGGGAACCTTCACTTGGGAACCTTTACTTGGGAACCTTTTCTTGGGAACCTTTACTTGGGAACCTTCACTTTGGAACCTTGGGGGAATGGGTTTTGGAGCTGCTCCGGTCTGCTCCGAAACCTTTACTATGGCTGAAGACCCCAAAGCTTCTGCTGTTGGGGAATAAAACATCATGGAAGCATACAACACACTGAAAAAAAACATATACATACAGCTCATAACTGAACTATTTTCTCTAGATTCACCATACATATAGGGGCATATCCCAACTTTTTTTTGGGCCTTCGCCCACATCCCAGCCCCCCAACTCCCCCGCGCCTCAAGTTGTGAAAGTTGGCCCAGGCCCCAAGCAGCGCTAAAGTGCAGGCCACCTGACGAACGCAACGTCGGATAAAGACATGGGCCACCATTCCTAACCGTCCCCATTTTTTAATGGCCATTTGATCGCTATACCGGCATACCCCATTTACCCTCTGCTAAACATACAAAAAACGATGGAACATCACCATGCTATTCATGGGAAAACTCACTATTTCTATGGTGATTTTTCATGGTTATGTTAGTTTACCAGAGGGTACATTTTCATATCATACTTGGTGAGTTGTATCCCACTTTTATCCCACTATCCCCATTAAAAACCAACGAAATGGTTGTTTTTCAGACACGCCCGAATCCAGTACTGTAACTATTCATGGGATAAATCACAATTTTTGTTAGTTCAATACCAAATTGTTTCCCCAAATCAACATTTGGCCATATCTGGTCATGTCTGGCCATAGCTGGCCATGGCTTCTGGTCACCTCGTGAGTCCACCAGCTCCCCTTCAGCAGGGACCTCCACCAAGACTTTGTGGCTCGCGTCGCACAGCTGCGCCTGGTGAGTGCTGATCTTCTTCCACTACCATGATCAAATAAAAGCCGTGCACCAATGAAACCAAGCAAGCCAAGCTTTATCCAGTGCTTTTGAAACCTGGATTGAAGTTTTCAAGTATAAGGGGAGGTAAATATATCATCAAGTCATCAAAGACTAATCCTTTTGTGAAAAGAACACATTAACTCAAGCAAACTCCAAAAAGCACCCCTTGTGGCTTTTACCTATCATGGGCGTGGAACAACTTTGCAAAGTGGTTTGTTAAATCCTCATAAATCGCAATGTCTTGTGACTCAGTCACCATTTTGTCGTGGTAAAGAAAGACATGGCATAAACTATGGTGAATCTTAGATACCTGCCAAAAAACTATTTTTTCCAGCTGGTCAGTACATTTTACCATTGATGCTAATTTTTAACACATGAGTACATTGATAACAAAATGTTAAAGTACCAATGGTAAAATGTACTAACAATGGGTTAGTATTGATAGCACCAATGGTGCTTTCCAAAGTATGTAACCCGTCGACCGGGAAACCATCACCAAGCCCATCCCAGAATTCCTGCAGCAAGCTCTGAGCCTTTGAACCTCGGTGTTTTTCGGCTTTTCCTTTGGAGTTGATGGTGATTCAGTGATTTCATGGTGGTTTACTGGGATTTCCTTAGCGAAGTTGCTTTCTCTATCATGACTAGGATTTATTGTGGATAAATCAACTTGCAACTGTTGCTGATTGCAATACTTAGGTTATTCAAAGAAGTGAAGCTTTAGATTGTCATGGCCCAATCATGAGGAGAACTGGTTGGTAACCAACCACAGCCTTGGGGATCCATCTTTTTCGCGCTCCGCCACGAGTCACCTGGATGACCCTCTTCAAGGGCCCTCCCAGGCTCCACAGGTTCCACACGGGCAACTGGCGGTCATTTGACCGAGGCTCAACGTCCGACACGGAGATTTCAACGATCCATCACCAAAATATCATGTGATATCACATGTATGTGACACCCTTAAGCTATCCGTTGGTATGCACTTGTTCACGGCTTCAGAACAATTGAACATGGTCAAATATTACCCTGACACAGCCATGATTCTCAGCTGCTATCCTACAATCTCCCATGAGGTCTTGCAGTCATTCGCAGCTAAATGTCACTCAACTCTCAAGCAGCTCGTGCTCCTCGGAAGGCAACGCTGGGTGATCTTGCCATCAGAACCATGGGGAATCACATCATCCGCGCAGCTGGAAGGCCCCGGAGGGGAAAAAAAAAAAAGGCGAAAGGAAAGGACACCCAAACCCAAGCCCGCAAATAGACCTTATAGGCTATCTATATATATATATAAGGCTCCCAAGATAGTTTTTTTTTCTAGAAGATGTTTGCCTGCCAATTTGCAAATGTCCAACTCTCCAAAGTTCAATTCATCATACAACATATTTCCAGGCAGCTGTACTTAATATAATTTCACCAAAATTGCCTTGGCGCGGATATGCAGCATTTCGGACAAACCCAGAGCATTCCTCAGCGCACGAGTTCCTATGGTAAAAATAGCCACATTATAACCCAAACATACAGGACTATGTAAAACATCATTTACATTCATTTACCACAGCCATCCAAATGCATACGTCTATATTAGTGATGGTGCACCTATATTTGCAAATGTGCATAAATATGCCGCCAAACAGTACAGTGCTAAGGTATGTATCCCTTTGTCCCCGTAAACTGGTTGGTTTAATCCCCATGTTTGTGGCTACCCCCAAATCAATATCCTGATAGCCGCATGTGATGAAATTCCATGATATCCGCATTAAACCTGGAAAAAAAGAACATATTTCCCATTAATTATTTTCCAATGTATTTCCATGATTATCCAGTTGGCGGTTTCAACCCCTCTGAAAAATATTAATCAGTTGGGATTATTATTCCCAATATATGGAAAAATAAAATTCATTTTCCAAACCACCAACCAGTTATAGTATAGCCATTCCATAGCCTTGAAATATCTGATAAAGTACCAGCTGTTATCCCAAACATACGGCCCCCAGCTCCCATTGTCTTAAATGGTTCAAGGTGAGGCCCCCCACCTTGACCCAAAGGTTAACCAAGTTTTGTTCACCAACTTGCCTAGTTGTCTACTGGGGTTTACCCAGAAACATACTGTTGGTATCTGTTGGTATATATCCGGTTCACATATCCCATGATCTTCCCACAATTACCATAGTTAGATCCATTCATAGCTCCCAGTATTAACCCAGAAACTCAACATTCATAGTAGTATCCCCATTAAATCGCCATGAATCTCACTATACCCAAAAAAACAAAGTGATATTTATTGGTTATATATTATACCCCCTTCATATACCAATTATATTCCCCTATTGAATGGGTATAATTCACCACGATCATTAGCCATTAACCCCCGTCATCCAATTTGTATTCACATGATGTTGCCATAGTTAACAATTCACCTTTATAACCACCAAATATTACCCAGAAAGTTAGCCAGAAACTAAATATTTATAGCCATATCCCCATTAAATCACCATTAATCCCCACTATACCCATTACCAACCATTATTCACCACTAAATCACCATTAATAAATCACCGCTAGACTATACCCATTATACTAAATCCGATTAAACCACCATTAAGCACCCACTATCACTTAATAGCTATTAATAACACCAAAAAATAATTATTCCCACCATATTCCTCATTATGTTCCCATAGTTATTGCCATAAAACTAGTCCGGTTAACCTCTGGATCCCTCTGTTAATTAACATCGCTATTGAAAATAGCCCATTTAGTTCGTTGACTTACCTATGAAACATGGTGACTTTCCATAGCTATGTTAGTTTACCAGAGGATAACCCCACCATTAATCTTCATGAAATCACCATCAATAGCCATTAATAACCCCAAAAAATACTTCTCCCCATTAAAATTTCCATACTTATTGCCAAAAAACTAGCCCCCAAAAATGGTTGACGCTGCACAGCTCCTGGTTGCTGCACTTACAGCGGTAGCAGCGCAGCGCCGCAAATGCCAGGGCCAGGTCGCCGCCTCATCCGCCGCCGACGCCGGGGCAGCGGCGATAGCCGCGGCAATGGCAGGCTGCGGCGCGGCAAGGCTGAGGGAAGGGGTAGGGATAGACAGGAAATCTAAGGAAATATTGTCATTTAATGGTGATTTAATGGTGACTTAATGGGATTTCATGGTGGTGTATTGGGATTTCATGCTGGTTTAATGGGATTTCATGGTGGTTTAATGGGATTTCATGGCGGTTTAAACTACAATGACTAGGGTTTATGATGGCTTATGCTAGCTATAGCTATAGTTAGTGAGGTTTACAAGCCAACTTAAAACTTATGGGCACATTTTTTTTCGGAAAATGTGGGGATCAATAATTTACAATTTACAATGGTGACCAATGAGCAATAATCCCGTACAACGATTGGTTTCCCTTGGAAAATCATCCAAAATGGGCAGTTCTGTGCAAGTCTTAACATTATTCGCTGGCAAACCAATGGTTTTTAGATCACCGGATTGTGTGCGAAATTCATAAGGAAATCGTGCTTTTCAAGAATTCGGGCCGACCTTCACCTGCACAAGCTTGAACAAATCGGGCTTGGATGCTCCTTTGAAGATTTGACGCCTGATGGGGGCTCATTCCTCTAAATATTCAGGCTCAACATTTCATCGAGAAAACAGGCATATCTGGGAATCTAGATTGTTCAGACTCTCCAGTCAGAAAACTGCTTTGGGTTTAGATGGGTACAATACCCCTAACCTAGAATCAACACCCAAAAATAACAGATATGCCATGACCGCAACCGGTTGGCAACTGGCTAAGCCAGAAGCAACACACTCATTGATTGAGCATTGACCACATACACGCACACCAGTCTTTCAATAGCAGCATGCGCCCTAAGCTTAGCCGGATACACCAGTTGCTGGCGAATCCAAGTGCCCTGTGCAAGGGATATCTATGAATCTATGAACTCCCCAACCAGAATAACCCATAATTAATCCGACATGTGGGTATACAGGAAGCATTGGGCCTCTCCTCCTATACTCGCATTCGAATCATCCCCAACCCCACCAAAGATATATGGGCATTTCTTAAAACCGAGCAACTCCAAATCCCATACTTTATCATAATTATCAAATATATGCGTGCCCATCATAAATGCAATAATCCTTGGCAAATTATCTAATAAAAAAATCACAATGGAACGTCACCTTCATCACCCTCTTTAATTAAGTAAATAATCCATCAATGGGCCATCTATACCATAGCTATATTAAATTGCCAAAGGGTAACTTGGTATTTCCAGAGGAACAACACGTGCAGAGAAATCCCTCCTGAGAAATATATTAATTTTCCAAAGGGTAACTTAAATTATTCTCTGGAAATGAGTTGTATAAATTCCGCAATGTGGGCAAAAAAATGCCATAAACCACCCGTTTGGGTTATTATTGTTTTACCCGCATTACCATATATGTAATGTGCATACCCATATATATATATATATTTTATAACTATAATTATAATTAAAATTATAACTATAATTTATTATATCTGGACATCCCTATTTTGGTACTATATTATTCTTGTTTTACTTGTTTTACCCATATTACTTGTTTCCAGAGAAACACTTTCCGAACACTTTTCCACCATCGCCTCGGCATTTGCCACGCAAGGCGCCACAGAGATCTTCCTGCGGTTCGACCTTCACCTGGCGAAGAACACAGCCACATCCTGGTGGTGCAATGGGGGTGATTTTCATGGGTAAAACATGGTAAAACTATAACCATCGCGAGAACCAAGAACCCCCATAACTTGTGGTGGAACTACCTATAAAATTGTGGTCATCTACCGGTTTAGAGTGGAACTGCAGCCGCAAGAACTTTGCAGCCGCAAGAACTTCGGATGTGCAGCATTTTCATCATCCAAAAGGTTAACTGATGGTCTGGGTTGGTGGTTTGGAATCCATGGGGGAAACAGTCAAAACTTGAAACCAACCTATTTCTGACTTCTTTGACTCGTTGAGGAGGAATGATCAGAAACCGGAGAATGATACACGGAAATAATATTTTGTACAAGTACTTGTGCGTGTTACATGTGCTCGGCCTACATGTACGCAGAGAAATCATGAATAGAATATTATGATAAAGAAATCATTGAAATCTGTGACTTTGCGTGGCATAGTTCGACAACAACAAAAAAGGATAAAAGAGGCAAGAAAAGCTCTTCCTCGTCCAGCACAAATGAGGAACTTCAGTGCCAGAGGCCTCCTGGCACTGTAGTTGCATTGGAGGCTCCTGAAGCTCGTTGGGAAGCTGCTCGATATGATCAGCCTGGTGAACCGGTGGCCGTCTGCTCATCAAACATGGCTGGCTGGCAATTTGCTCATAAAAGTTGAAGTTGATGGTTTAACTCGTCTTTATATAAAGCATTAAAAAAATGCGTGAATTCATGAGAAATCCTAGCCTGAAACGTTTAGTTTAAAAAAACGGCTGGGTATATTTTTTTTTCTGCATGTCCACGTTTGCTGACACACACCCTGAGGATGGCTGGGACAACCTGTCACCATGGCGCTCAAAACCATTTGTTCCAAGGTCGCCAACCCATCGCCATCCAAGGAACGCCCTTGCTTCCCCTTGCTTTAGCATCTGCAGAAGGGGGCGCGGCAGAGCTTTTGCGCTTGGGCTTTATGAAGCCTGGCTGAGTTGGATCAGTTTGTGGCTGCCAAGGGCACCAAACAGAGCCAGGATGTCTGAATATACCCTTCATATACTGGGGGTTCATTGTTTGGCGCGCATGTTTTTTTGGCATCTGTGACTCTGGTTGATGATTTGGCCAACGAAAAATCATCGACAAAATGGTCCGGTTGAATATCCTGCCTTTTTTCCATCTTTCTCACCCTTGCCAGGTAGGAAACATTCAAAAGTCTCAAATCAAAAATTGCGCGATGTGCTATAAAATGACTACTGTGTTTTAAAAGATGACGATCTTGTACTTTAATAGTAGAGATTATAATTACACATTCAAAAGAAACCCAACCCACAGCACGTGGGCCTCCACTCCCCACGAAAACGTCCAAGTCTCGAGCTGTCCAATGACCTCGCAGGTTCTGGGATGATCACGGATGATCAGTGCTTTTTTGTTGATCACCCCGTTCCATATCCCCAAAAAGAGACAAAAACTATGTTTTCTTAATGAGAATGATGTTTACATTCCTCTATCCAGTCAATAACCAGTATAACCAGTACTAGCTTCACGGATTCGTGTTCAGACTGGCTTGGACTGCTGGCCAAGTCCAAGCATCAAACAACGGGCAATGATGGACAAGTCATAAGGGCTGTACGTATTGTTGCTCACATCCACTAACCTGAAACGCCCTCCAAAAACAGATCGCGATTCCAACCATATCATATAAAATCATACAACATCTCCATTGATGCCAAAAAGATAGCTGGTTGGTGGTTTCAACCCCTCTGCAAAATTTTAGACAATGGGAAGGATTATCCCATATATTATGGAAAATAAAAAATGTTCCAAACCACCAACCAGAAAGGCATTCACAGCCTCATTTTATTCAGGCTATTGCCAAGTTAGCCCAAGATCCATCGATCGCTGCCAATCGGCTGATGTCTGAAGGCCAGGGCAAACCTTGCACGTCGACACCCGGATATTTTTGCCTCGGTAGCTGGGTCTGAAAATGGCACCATGGTAGGCCCCTAGGCATGTGGCCATTGGGGCTGGATGGTTGGCTGTATACTGGAAAATCCTATCCAAATGCTTGGGAATGCCCAATTTTGACCCATATCATTTGAAGAGGGAACATGATGGTGAGAAATATGTACAGCTGATCAGGACAGGTGAATCAGAAAGATTCTCCAACCAGAAATCTCACATGAGGACACATTGGCATACATCTAAGGTTATAGCAGCCCCCAAAAACAGATAGAACCGTAATTGATTTATCACTCTTTAATTATGCATATATATATATAATTCCATAGATATACATACATATTTGGTCTTTGCGAGGGTTACTACTTCAGGGCGCAGCTCCACTGACATAAATAGTTGAACAGTAGTTGTATCAATAGTTAAACAGTAGAGGTAGGAACCCCACATCTCAACATGGAGTAAATGCCATGCTTATACTCATGATTCACCATTAGATCATATAGCTTTCCCCCAATTTTCATGGCTCGAAAATCCATTCACACCCTTGACATATCTGGACCTGTAGCATCACAGGCACCAAGAGGCTGGATCGCTTCCAGTTTGTCAGACATGACAGTACGTTCTGCCATGGCATGGCTGGGAAGTTGACCTGAAATGCCACTGATTTGCTTACAACGATAAAAACGTCGTTGGGAATGATGATCTACGGATCTGTCTCTCTCTCTCTCTATATATACTGTATATATATATATATGTATATTATGATCTACTACGTGAAATGGACGTAGAGGGCTCACACGGAACTCAAATGTCAGAAACGAGTCTCAGTGGCTGAACCTGCGCTCATTATATATGCCTGGGCTGCAGCTTGTTTGAAGGCCAAGCCTTTCATACAGTAAATCAAATGTGGCCTGCAAGAAGACAAGATGTTGGGTAAATCAGGCACAATAAGAGACTATCTTGTAGTATCAACACCAATTTTAAACATCAAAATGTAGTGGCACACAATCAACATCAATCAAATGTATTCTGGTTGGTGGTATACCTACCCCTCTGAAAAATATGAGTTCGTCAGTTGGGATGATGACATTCCCAATATATGGAAAAATAATCCAAATGCTCCAAACCACCAATCATATATATATATGTATCAAGAAACTTGACTTCCAGGTATTCAAATGATGACTTCCAGAAGTTTTTTGAATACCAATACTTTTTAGTTCAAATGTTGACTTCCAGACTTTGCCTCTGTCATTTAAACTCCAGGTTTCTGCTGGAGCCAATGCTGTTCAAGGCAGACGAGATCACGCAAATCACATCTCGAACGCTTCATATACTGTACCATTAAAAAATACATAAAACATCCATAAATATACTGTCAAAATCCACAAACATCAAAAATCCATAAATATCATGAAAATCCATAAGCATGAAACATCCATAAATATACCATAAACCTGCCATAAATCCTAACTCAAACCACATTGGATCATTGAATCCTCAGCTGTCGGCGAAGTTCTTCCCAGCACTCCACTGCTCCCGTCTGTGCCTGGGATTCCGGCGGCGAAAAAAAAACGGACAGTGGACTTCCCAAAAAATCCAAAAAATGCATGGAAGTATGCCAATTGGGAAGTACAAAATTTTGAAATATCACTATAAATTTGCAGCAGAAGTGGATTCTTCCCAAAATGGTGTGACACAACTTGTACGTCTATTCAAATGTAAATTTTATAGTGATATGTCTTTCATGCAACCCTACATGTAAAATATTATAAATAGAACTGGTCAGTATGTGTTCCCGCTTGTATTCCCATTTGTGGTGAAATGCTAAAGAGACAAACTACCCATCCAACCTTTACACAGTGCACAAGTGACACAAGTCCCCGGTGCATCACGCGATTGCCCAACCCAGTTGCCTCATGGAAACGCCCAGATTGGAAGGACCACTGCGACCAGTTTTCTTCGATCTGGCCCTGGCGTTGTCATCGGTGGATCTTAGTGGGAAGCGATGAAAATCGGAATCAGTTTTGCCGTTGCAGTTTACATATTATATTAGTGGGATTTACTGGGAATTAATGAGATGTAGCTCGTTAGCTAAATCAGTTAAACACGGTAGATATATCTATAGTTGAAGGGGTTTACAAACGAACAACATTTTTGAGCCCGGAAAGCATTATACAATTATGATTATGATCCCTAGGATGAACAACGAACACATACCGAACATATATAACTGAAAAAACAATCTTGCACCTGCGAGCCAGATCCGTCCAAACGTGGATTTCACTCACTTAAGGTATGAGCTTCTGACTGATCCACCGAAAACATGTGGGATGGGAATCCATTGGATGAGAAGAATGGGAATTTTCGAGTCCGGCCAATCACCCAACACACCACCAGTAACAACACCGAAATAATTCAAAAACAAATGGGAAATACAGTATTTTGAAGTTAGAAAGGGTCATAAGTTTGACTATCTTTGGGATCATCAATGGATTGGTGAAGCGAAAATCTGAACCAAAAACACGATTTTTGCCAGTAAAAAAAACATATATATTTAGGTTTTCCTGCACTTTTCCCTTGAACGAATTCTGGGAGATCACACTTTATTAATCGTTCCCTTCACCCGGTCATTGGTTTTTCTAAACCTGCTCAGGACTTCGGGAAGAAATACCCAGGGCTACTCATAGGACACCCACAAGATAAATATCGAAGCATTACTGGTGCACTGGTTGGTGGTATACCTACCCCTCTGAAAAATATGATAGTAAGTTGGGATGATTATTCCATATTATTCCCAATATATGGACAATAATCCAAATGTTCCAAGCCACCAACCAGTGCAGTATTGACCTATTGGCCAACCAAAACATTGACCGATTGGCCGACGAAATTTGCCAGATCTATGCAGGGCAGTGAGCCCAGAAAAATGTGATGTTTCAACATGTTTCCAGCCCACGAAGATCTCTTTGTTCGGATCATCCCGGATCATCCCTAAATGTGGTTGAAACGTGTTGAAACAAGGAATGCGGTATTTTGAACCACCGGCATTCGGGAGGAGATCTCTTCACCATTTTTGAGGCGGTGCCCTGGGCTGTGAAGTGCTCCAGGGGTGCCGGGGGCTTGCTGAAGGTCAGAGGAAGGCCGTCGCTTCTCTGAGAAGATCCAGCATCCAGGTTTCATAATCTTCTGGAATATCTCCAGATAGTCAACCCTTACAGGGCCCCCGGGGCCCCCGTTAAAGAATGATAAATTACTATTCAAATAGCTACTCCCCCCATAAACTGAGATCAACCTCCAGAGGGCTATGAATCAAAACCCTGGCCCAAAGTCATATGGGGTTATCTGAACAGGGTTGGTATATTTGAAGGCTAATACCTCATTTTCAGACACAAATCTAAATACCCAAATCCATTCTTCATGTGCTAAATCAGTAAAAAAAATCACCATTTCTTGTTGCTTCAAGACCCAAGTGGCCTCCCAAAAGGCCACACGTCGCGACAACGAGGAGGTCAAGGTCCTCGTTGTGATTTGGCGCATCAACAGGTGATTTCGAAACATGTGCTATCTTGAAAAACTAGAGACATGATGAGACATGCATATGCATGTGCAGGAAAAACATGCGTTTATTTTTAAAATATTTGATTTTACCACAACTCTATACCATCAAATCCCCGCAACTCAGCATGTTTCTGGTAAATCAGCAGTTTTCTTGGTCTAGTCACCATTGTCAACATGTCCTCCAAAAGTGACCGACACAATCACTGGCCTCAGCTCCGTGGTTATTACAGCCAGCTCTTCAACCTGCCGATCACTGATTTTCATGACTCGCAATGTCGTGAAATGGCAATTGGTGGGTATAAACCATTAAAACCAATGGTAAAAACCATGGCTAACAATGGTATAAGCAATTTTCATATACATATATATATATATATGTATAATCTATATATATATATATATACCCATGCAGCAAATCAGTTGTATACTTGGAGTAAGCTGTCCGCGCTGCAGGATGCATAGGGTGAAACCAGGATGACAACAACAAATCCAAATCCCAAAAAAGAAACAATTTCCGCCAATAGTTTCATATCCACCAAAATCAGAAAAAAATCAGCAGTATATATAGTTTATACTGTATCATTTGTTTACTGATGATCCCATCAATATTGAAGATGTAAAAAACGCACATATATATATATATATATATATCTGGTTGGTGGTATACCTACCCCTCTGAAAAGATGAAAGTCAATTGGGATCACTATTCCCAATATATGGAAAAAGAATGCACATGTTCCAAACCACCAATATATAGATATATACACCCCCTGGTAATTTAACATAGCTATAGAAAAACCATTTATAATAGGTAAATCAACTGTAAACGATCATTTTCAATAGCTATGTTATCATACGGTACCTTTTCCATTCCAAATCCTCTCAGTTCGATCCAGCACCGCCTGGGCCAACAGCTCCGTTTCCTGCTCCAGGACGCTCGCTGAGAAGGCCTGGCGAAACGCCACGGCTCCGGTGTTGCTTGGTTCGTTGGGGAGACCCTGGGCTTAGTAGGGGACTTGCAGACATATTTCGAACCATTTAGGAATGTTCAACGTAGATAGATAATGATAAAGATAACGATATAGATAAAACCAACAACCTCAGCACCTTTGTTGCTTTACAAACACTGCTCGTATTAACTATCGACTAACATCTACCACACACCTAACAGTTGTAGATTAGTTATGGACCAGTTTGGCTAACAAACTAGGGCACCACCGTGTAACATGTACAAACTACGAATATAAAACCTAAGAATATCTGAGACATGTTTGAGAAGACAAAAAGGTCATACTCATTGGGGATGTTCATCTGGTTTCACCTCTTTAAGGCTGAGCCAGTCCCACAACCACACCTGACAACACAACACAAGGGGATGTGCCAGACCTAGGACACAGGACCTAGGAATGGGAATTGGTGATTATCACCATCTGCTTTAGGATTTTCATGGATATTCCATAGACATACATGTGCAATCATATACATACACAATATCATTTAATAATATTTAATAGCTAGGTTATAGTATGTTTCCTGTATTACAATTAGCTACAATGGATTCCGATGGTTATGAAGTTATGACCATAAAATACCATAAATACCTAAGTAGTGGTAAATTGATTACTTTATCTCCTACGAAATTCCTGGTTCCCCCACCTTAGGACATCGCCGAAGTTCATACCACCGACCGTTTGCGCCTCGCAAATGCTGCGCAAATCCTCTTCCGTTCGAGCAATGCGCAAAAGTCCAGTCTGAGGATGCCTTGGGATGAAGCCCCAGCGGCGAGATGCCGCCAGGGTCACTAAATTAGTTGCGTATTTGGTAATGTACTTTTTTTTCTGGTTGGTGGTATGCCTACCCCTCTGAAAAATATGAGTTCGTCAGTTGGGATTATGACATTCCCAATATATGGAAAAATAAAATTCATGTTCCAAACCACCGACCAGTATACTTGTCAAGTGGCTTCAAAACGGGAAAGCATACCTATGTTTGACTTCAGTTAAGCTCACAACTAACATGAACTAAACACCCAACTGCCTCACTCATAGATTTCAAAAGATTTCAATCGATTTCATCCACAGGAATCGGCCACAGGGTACCACACAACGCGACCCTTAAATAAAGAGCGCCCCGTCACGGGCTGCCGCAAGGATAGTCCTTGGCGCGATCTTTGAAGGCCTGGATGGCCTCTGATGCCTGCCATGGGCTCTCCTCTGATGTCTTTGGATGGTTGGAATCCCAAGCATTTCTGGTGAAATATATGATATATGCTAAAAGAAATTGGGGATTATATGGTGAAGTTGGGGATTATATGCTAAGATTGGGGATTCTATATATGGTGAAATTGGGGATTCTTCAGGATTGGGCTGGTGAAATGGGTGATTCATTATTGGATTTAGAATGGTTTACCACATGCCATTCACCAATAAACTGACCATAAACCATAGTATGCACTAGGTATCTTCACCTGGCGACATATAGCTGCCAGGGCTGTGGTCACCGCGGCTGGAGAACGACTACGACGGTTCTTGACTACGCCTGCACGCCTCTTGTGTTCTGCAGAATGCTGCCACAATGGGCCAGCCACTGCAAAATTCATGCACATGACATGAATCAAGAACATTCAGAATATAAAATGATTATGAAATCTAGGGGGCGCTGTGGATACTTGGCGCATCTCAGCCAGTAAGTGCGAGTCATAAATCATAAACATACCAGTAGTACCGCACAAGGCGGTGGCGGAAGTTTCAAAAATAGGAAACCTATAGGAGACGTTGGTTGTTGTGAATCAGGGATGGCAGAGCGAAGCCACTGATTGACCGAAGGGTGGTTGGAGTTGTGTTTGCTGGAGTGGTTGCAATGGTTGCAGTGGTCACCTCTTCCTCACCTGCTGGATGTAGTGTGATGTACTGCAACTGTAGTTGTAGTTGTAGCGTAGTGGAGTTGTAGTTGCGGTGTAATGTAATTTTATGTAGTGTAGTTGCAGTCATATAGTTGTAGCTGTAGTTGTTTTGTAGTTGTAGTTGTAGTTGTAGTTGTTGTAGTTGTAGTTGTAGTTGTTGTTGTTGTAGTTGTAGCTGTAGTTGTTGTGTGGTTGTAGTTGTTGTGTAGTGTAGTTGTAGTAGTAGTTGTTGTTGTAGGTGTAGTTTAGTTGTAGTTGTAGTTGTAGTTGTTGTTGTTGCTGTTGTTGTTGTTGCTGTTGTTGTTGTTGTAGTTGTTGTAGTGGTAGTTCTAGTTGTAGTTGTAGTTGTTGTGTAGTTGTTGTAGTTGTAGTTGTAGTAGCTGTAGTTGTTGTAGTTGTAGTTGTTGTGGTTGTTGTTGTTGTTGTTGCTGTTGCTGTTGTCGTCGAAGTTAGGGTAGTTAAGTTAGTGAAGTTAGTTAAGTTAGTCAAGTTAGTTAAGTTAATCAGTGTCTACTTTTTCGACATCTTCACATCAAAAAAGGCTCAAAACCCTCAGTTTTTTACACTTTTGACTTCGAAATGTGCTTCGCGCCACAACGGCGTGCACTTTTTCGACACTTTATCGACATCTGAACCTCCAAAAGTGGTCCGAGACCGTCAGTTTTTAACACTTTTGACTTGGAAATGTGCTTCGCGCCACAACGGCGTGCACTTTTTCGACATCTCAACTTCCAAAAGTGGTCCGAACCTGGTGTGTTTTGTACATTTTGACTTGGAAATGTGCCTCGCGCCACAACAGCGTGCACTTTTTCGACATCTCAACTTCCAAAAGTGGTCCGAACCTGGTGTGTTTTATACATTTTGACTTGAAAATGTGCTTCGCGCCACAACGGCGTGCACTTTTTCGACATCTCAACTTCCAAAAGTGGTCCGAACTCCTGGTGTTTTGTACATTTTGACTTGGAAATGTGCTTCGCGCCACAACGGCGTGTAATTTTTCATCTCTCATCTGGCCAGCTGGCTCCGCACCCGCCGCTTTAGCGAGCCTACTTTTCGACCCTCCGGAGCCCCAAATCATTGGAAAAACACAGTGTTTCGCGACTTTCCTACCTGTTCGCGCATCTGCATCTTCTTTCTTCTTACTCTTTCTCTTCTGACTCTTCTCACCTCTGCTTTTCAACTGTCCATATTGTCGGAAGTTTCACTTCTAAACTTCCTTCGATGAATAGCCACATCATATAGCGGACACAACCCGATACATATGAAAAATATGTGTATATATAAAAATAAATAAATAAATAAATAACTAAATAAATAAATATGCATATATATATATGTATATGTATATGTATCTTGCAATCACTACTTGCCAACTGGGATGCGCCCCCACGCTAGGATTGGATAGGTGCAATGTGGTGCTCCACAGTTATGTTTGTTGGTTTCCTTTCACCCCGCAAACTACTTCGATCTATTTTATATCTACCATACAGATGATAGTAGTGAACTGATGTGAACTGCTTACAAACTCAGCTGAATAGCTATACATCCCATGCTGCATGGCTAAAATCATACTTTCTTGGGAAAACCTGGTAAAACCTTCCATTTTGACAGGTGAATTCGGTGAACTCCCGACTCAGCCCGTGGCCTGTGCGCGGATTTGTTCTTGGCAACGCTCCAAGGCCACTTTTCCGCCTTGAAAGTTGGTTCTGGAACCGGCTGAACCCACAGGATGAACTGGAAATGGATGGGGGGACACGGTATACCCTCTGGTAAACGTTTACATAACTATGGAACATCACAATTTTTAATGGGTAAATGTAATAAACGGGCCATTTTCAATAGCTATGTTAAATTATCAAATGGCAAAAACCATGGTCAATTCATGACAATTGGAGATTCAACTGGTTTCAGTTGGGATTTTTGAATGATTTACCCACAATCTAGATTCGTTGGTGGATGATTACGACCAGGCACACACATACTGTAGCAGCCAGGTTTGAGGGCCGATCCAATTGCCCCAGGGGCAAACTGGCTTAACATAAGAGGTAAACCGTCCCAAGTGACGCCTTTTGTAGCATTTCAATGCATTTAACATGTACAGGCAGTTGAGTGCATGTGGTTTAACGCTGTTCTTGTCAATGGATTGGTTTTCGGGAAATTTTACAGGAAAACACCATATTTCACGGGAAAATCGATAGTTTCCGGTTAAGATTTTCCCAAGCAAACCAATCCATTGTTAAGGCCATCTGGGTCCACTGCCCTGTGCGTCTCCTTCCTGCAAGATCGACTATGACTGGTGGTTTCGAAGCATCAACACATGACTAAACTGAGATACGACGATGAAAAAATACCAGGTGGTAGAACATGTTAGAACCAGTTCATTTCACCACCCCCGAGAGAAAAAAACTGCGTATTCAACCGAGCGTTGCTTGAATGAATGATGGTCAATGGGCACGTTGGGCAATTGACACCACGTCACATTTACCTTCGAACTTTGTGGAAGACGATTTCCCAGTGGAAGCAGAATTTCCTGGTTTTCATGTTACCTATACGTTGCGTTTATGGCTCAAGATGGCTCAAGATGGCTCAAGATGGCTCAAGATATTCCATGATATCCCAAACAAATATCGCCATGGTGCTTCACCTCCTTGAACCTTGAAGACCCCGTGTGATTTCTATAGCCTTCACAGGTGATGCACCTCGTCCACCAAGGAGGTGACGCAGGAGAGCTCCGCAGTCAATGCGCCCACGCGCCGGGACTCGGAAAGCAAGGTCGAATACCTCGGTCAGGTTGGGGGTCGTCATCGGGCTGCCCCAATAGGTGGATGGAACCAATGGAACATCTTATTCAAATGGAAACCCCACTCAGGAAAGCTCCATATTATCATATGTCTCAACTGTTTGGGACTTTTTACCAGACATCAGGGTTTTGTGTTTTGAATGGCTATGACCTGTAACTCATAGGTTCAATCACATGCGAGCTGGCGGTCCTTGGGCTCTGACTTGGCCCTTAGCTTGCTAGTCATCATCTAGAGCATGCAAAGTCACCACAGATTTGAATGGGAAATCAGCACAAATATTGTTTGTTTCAATCATATTGATATAATCAAATTCTAATCACCTAATGATGGTTTGTGGCTTCACCCCCAAAAATTCGCGTCAGTGGGGATTATCATCCCATACTCGGGGGTGTAGCTGCCCCATATCCCAATTCATGAAAGTTACAGTCCCATAATCATACCATTGGCCATAAAACAAACCTCAGTCCTTCATCCCCAAGTCATATTTTTGGCTACCTATCCCATTGTATTACATTGTATTGCCATTATATTGTCATTATATTACCATTATACTACCATAGTTATACCATTATAACCGTAAAAAAACACAATGGTTGCAAGCTGCCAGATCCTTCCCATCCGCCCCTGGGGCTCCCCAACAAGCGCTCCGCCGCTGTCAAGGCCTCGTGCTTGGCCTGCCTTGGTCACTGGTTCCAGGTCCCAAAAAAGGAAGGGGTATGGCACTGGGTTTATTGGGTTTATGATGATTATGATGATGAATATTGTTTGCATGCATGTATACATATAACTCTATATATATATATTATATATATAACATGTTGTTGATTTTTTGAGTGGGACACACAGGTGTGCATAAGTGGTGTACCAATCGTATCCCTGCATCTTCATGAAGCACTTCCATCTAGTTGGCTCACATCTTTTCTTCTATAGATGCATTTAAAAAAATCTGGCTACAACGTGTAGCAGCATGTGTCAGGAAGCTAGCATCATCAGGACTTCTGATGCTCGCCTCAACTTCCCCGACGCACCGTGCTGTTATCACCATCCAACCTAGCCATATTGATTCGCTTCTCTGTGAATTTTCTGGTGAAACTTGAACGGTTAAACCTCTATCAACATGTCATTCTTTACTGACACATCCCCACATTATGTGTGTTGCTGTTGTTATTCCAGCGATAACTGGATCTTACACCTATAAACTAATATCAAGATGTGCATATTATTATATTTGCAGGTTAAAGAGCTGCTGTCTATACACACATTTTTGAGAAGTTACGTAACGTACTCAGACTAAAAACCACTTCCCTACAAAATAATGTAAACAAATTCTTTCCTATGATCATCATCAAGATCCAACCCCCCAAAGGTGAACCCCCCAATAACGTTTGGGTTTACCAAGGGCGAATCGGAATCATCTGGGATTAGGGGTCGCCGAGCCATGGAACATGGTCCATTTAGTTCGATGATCTTTCTACCGAAACTAGAATTTTGCAGCGCAGTTCCAGCGAACTGAGTGGACATATTTCAACCCTAGGGTCCCCATATCCTAAGATATATGAGTATAGTTCCCCACCTGCCAGGTGAGGGTATCTAGATTTTAACCGAGGTGCCACTCCTCCTCTTCCTCTTGTCTCCCTCCTCGTTCGCCTCCTCCTCGCTTGCTACATTTGCTGCACTCGCTGCCATATCGCCAGCTCCGGATGTTGTGGAGTGTGCCTGGACCACCATGTCGCGAGCTCAGGAGGGTGTGGAATGGGCCTGGACCCGAACTCATGCCAGAGATACCGAAATGCCAGATAGAACAATGCAAGACAGAATGACAGAATATATGTTAGAAAGTATGTCAGAATAGATGCCAGATAGAATAGAATGTCAGAGCATATGCTAGAAAGAATGCCAGATAGAATGTCAGAATATATACAATAATGATATATATATATTATATATACATGCCTGCCATATACTTCCAGATGGTATGCCAGAAACTATGTCAGAATAACACACGTCAGGGGGATCTTTTTCTCACCTCTGGGTGACCCCAGCCAGGACTGCCACAGCTGCCGGCTCAGGTCCAATACTTCGGCATTGGAATTGGAGCCCTGGCGAAGCTGCGACCATCGAAACTGGACATGGGGGAAAATGGTGACGATCAAGGCCTTGATATGCGAAAACAATTTTGGGAAAACAAATATTGTGTATTGAACATATATTGTCCCATGATCGATGCCAAAATATGAGGACAACCAATGTGGCATACTCAATGTTCAAACACAAACACGATGTTTACAACCCATCTTTAGTGATATCGAGGATGGTAAACTATTGGGTCTACCAGGCTACCACACTATAATATGTACATGTATGCTTACGGATCCAAGTACCTCCTCAGGAAGAACCCCACTTTCTCAGGACGTAACCACCGTCTTCAATTTTCGAAAAAAAAAACATCTACCAGAACCACTACCAACGAATGAAAACGACAAATCGTGTTGTTCTTTAAGTGGCAATTGCTTGTTGGGGAGGGGGATTACGTGGATCCATGAGTGAATAGTCACTGGCTTGAAATATCCAAGTTAGAAATGTGCAGTTTCGCCAAGATCAACCATGATCCACCGCTAATCTTGAATGTACTGCGAAAAGATCCTTTTGCAGGCTCCTCTATAGCTTCATTTCTGACAAGAAAATGCAAGAAAAGTACTTAGTAACACATCAAACTACCCTTCACCAAGGTTTTTCCGTGTATATATATATATATACAAACACACACACACATATATATATATATATGTACATACATAACAGTTGTTGCGATTGAGTTCCCCATGTTTGCTGCTTAAGCCCCCCTTCAATACCCATGATGCAATGATACAACGAATGCAATGAACGGATATAATCAGTTCTTTCTTGGTCAGGTCAGATCCTCATTTTGCCGGTTGAACCCTCGTTTTTGCTGGGACATTTTTGGTTAAAATTAAATGCGCATTTTGGTTGGGTTTCTCCACATGTTTCTTCCTTGATCCAGTCAAGTCATGGCCCAGCTCCGGCCGAAACTGGCACCTCCAACGACAAGAATTCCAGGGTGGTCGACCTTCATGGGTCGATCGACAAATCGGGACTTCAGGCAGAAAAAAAAACGGGTAGTTGGGGGACATCTGGGTTGATTTATAGTGGATACAACATTTTTTTGCAGGAAAACGATGTTTTTTTTGGAGGAAACCTATGGTTTTTGAGCTTTTGGATTGTGAGTTTTTTGGGGTTCTCGTTGCATTTCTTACAGTAAACCGACAGGTCAGGGACGGCCCTGAGCTATTGATAGCAGCCTCCGCCAAAAGGTGATAGCTATTCTAGACTGTAGAGGGGTTGAACGGCTCTATACACCACCAGTCGAACCCTACATACGCCACAAAAGTAAGCTTTTAGCAACAAACCCGTACCAAGTATACCCCAGTAGTGAGGCTACATCCACTTGGTAAGCCGTAAACCATTTAGCTAATCGTGGAAACATGCCAAGGACTCTTGAATGAACTAGTTAAGGCTGGGGCATTTATCAACGTGTCTGACCATCAAACAATTAGTGGCGTCAATTGCGGGCGTTTCAAACACGAGAGTCCTACTTGGGAGCGCAGTTCCACTAATGCGGGGGTTATATCCCATCTTACCCATACGGTGACATATATAAATCCAACCAAACGAGGTAGTACTTGGAGGATCATCCCACTTAGCAACTGCTTAACAAATGGGTGAAAAAACTATACATTGGATAGCAATGGATGACCCACTTTCTCCGAATGTCCGCGCTATCAGGTGCTATGCCTGAGTCTCTGAAACACCTGCCTTAGCGAATTGCAAGGCGCGGTGTTGGACCCCGCTCATCCTCCCACTGGCATTCTGAAAGTGATGGATCTATGGGTCATATGATTTGTGGCACATGTATGGCAAAATTATGTTATAGTCAAACTTTAGATCACGTGTATGCTTTACTGATTATTTGCCTACTTACTGTTGGCAGATAAATGATCATAAATGTAATTAATTTACTTGCCTAATGTCTATGTGCATATGCACAGGCATATGAAAATATAGAAATGCATGTGCACAAATACATGATAGGGATATTCTGTGTTCGCATAGCCCATGAAGGCTCTTCTGCAGCTGTGCAAACATAAAGGTGATGTACATATAGCATATACATATATAGCATATATACATATATATATATATGTGTGTGTATATATATATATTTGCATATACAAATAAACATATGTATATACATATATGTATATATATATACGTACATAAAACATATTTATGTACAAATCAAAAAATATATGCAAATATAAACTTCAATATCTAAATATATTCATATATATATAATGTAAACTTGAAAATAAATGTGAATATATATGTATACATATATAAATGTATATATATATATATATGTATATATATATGTATATATTTATATGTATATATAAATAGATTATGTATACTTGAAAATAATTATGAATATAAATATATATATATGTATGTACATATATATATATAGTATGTATACTTGTAAAAAATGCATTTATAAATGTATATATATATATATAAATATGTGTGGGTGTGCATATTTAAATATATATATTTATATGTATGTATACATATTATAAATAAAAATATAAATCTATATATACTACCAATATTTAGGGGCACAAGATGGCACAGGGAAAATTGGTGCGTTGTGTTCTTTGTATTTATGAATTTATGAAATCATATGCTTCTCCCACACAAACCGTACCCGCCGGTAATCTAGCCTGGTGATGTCTGGAAATTTAAATCACCACGCTGCTACCTGATTTTTCCATATTTTCCTATCAAACGTATCAATTTGGAATCAGCGTTTTGTCTGCCGTTGGCGGGTGCCCGGACGTAGCGCGATAGCCTACCTCCCTGATACCCCTGGCGGCGTGGTTACCGTCGCAAACGTCCCACTAAGGGAGTGTGATTTTTTGACGTTTAACCAACAAAAATTAGCGGTATTTGATATTTCCATCGCAGAAAACCAAAAGGCGGTATGCAGCTCCTGTGGGTTCACCCTGCCAACCTACCAAAATTTGGTCATAAACATGCTGCTTGTAAAGGGGTTGCAAAAAGAATGTTTGACCACCAGGCCGAATCGAGTTTCATGGCTGACTGTCTGACTAACTTTCATGTTTTGGTGGCATGGAACTACATCTCCTAAATCTAGCATGGAATCCAGCTAGCCATATTATCCAGAGGTAAAATCATCACCAGAACCCCATGGCCTTCAGTTTCCGTATGAAATCTGTGGTTTCAGCGTGATCCTAATGCAGGATACTGGCTGGGAATAATAAAACTCAGTTTGTCAATAGATGTTAGCAGGGAACACAGTGACACATTTTAGCAATATTCTAAAAGTAATTTAATCTATCACTTTTTTGGGACCAACAAGAATCTGAAAACATTTCAATAGCAATGTATCAGTAAGGTTTGTTTATACCTGCAGTTTGGCAACTTCTAATTTCAAAATTGCAATAATGACTGACTGAAATTGAAAGTGCCATTTATTTGTTAATTTGGAATTTTCACAAAAGTCATTTATTTTGTTAATTTGTTTAAGTGGTGAAAATCAATTTAGTATCTACTGTTATTTGAATTTAAAATTTTTGAATTTGCAGTTCTACTAGTGACTTGTCAGCTTGCCACCAGCACCGCGCTTCCCCACCTCACCACATGGGCACCGGGAGTCAAGGCGGTGTCCAAGTCCGTCCTATGGAGGAAACTTGGTGAAAAACCTGGTGACATGGTATACAAGGTGGTGCCCTCCCAGTTATAAATTGGTTATAAGCCCATGAAAACTATAGATATATCACCTATAAACCATATTTATTGGAGTTACGTGCGCCAACTTAGCTATCTTGGGGGCACCACCTTGTAGAGCGGTTATGAAACATTTTGCTCTCCCTGAAGAGCCAAATGACTGTGAATTTAAAACAGTCTTAGGGATTTGATGACCGTTCTCAGGATGATTGACTTGAGGCATGCTAAGTCCATGTCTCCCCAACAACCTGACGTGGCAAGGGACAGTCACCATTGCCAATAAGCATATCATCTGGTGTCCATCACCAGGTGTTCATCACCAGGCTAGATTTTCTCTTATTTTTCCTGTTCATCGCTAAAACGACTGCCTTATTCATATGTATATATAGTATGGCCGTGTGTGTGTGCTGATTTCTTCATCATATACATATGCACAAACAAGTACATATGCATATGAAGACACATACACGCACAAATAAACACACACGTATACACATAGACGAATACACAAAAACAGTTTTGCATGCATACAAAATACATACATGTATTTAAATATATATATATATATATTACACAGTATGCACAAAGAAATATATATACATATTATATATATATATATTCAAATGCATTGACAAATAGATTTATATATACGCATACGAACATATACGTATACATTTACATTTACATACGCATATACATAAAGATACATGCACAATACACATGTATACACACATATATATATATTTATATTGATATATGTGATATGTATTCAAATGTATTCATATTCATATTCAGTTCACATACATATACAATTACATACATATGTACGCCTGGACCAAATTCTGAAGAAACACAGGCTTCCAGCGATCTGCCTGGCAAAGACCAACATCTCAGCCAAGTGAATGGCCATCTGCTGCGCCCTGGGGAGAAGCGCACCAATGATGACTTTGACCCAGAAAAAAACGGGATTGATGCGGGTAAAACAATAACAATATACTACCAAAGTAGGGATTTCCAGATACAATAATCTATAATTATAAATATTTATATATATACATATGGATACACACTAATTACATATATGGGAATGGGGATAAAACAATGCCACAAACCATCCCCCAAGTCGCAATTTTTAAAGGTGGTATGGTTACCATTCCCAAGTGGCTGGTTTATTAGGGTTTTTTTCCCACATAACTATGGTTTACATGCAGCAAAAAAAAGCGAATCAATCTCCAACAATTTTTTTTATATTTTATCTTCACCGGGACGACAAACAGATGGGGGAAACACCGTTCTTTCATGTTCTAATGTTCCTGGCAATGCGCAGTTCACATATGCTGTACGTCCTCAGTTAATGATTCATTCATGTTGGGTTTACTTGGCTGACCTTAGATATTTTAGCAAATGGAGTGTTCGACATTCCTGCAAGTATGGCTGAAGAATCTCTTATACAAGTCGCTGAAACATCACCCATCCACCACCCAGGAACCATCGGACCATTGGCCAACTGCTTGGATTTGCCTGAACACTTCATATATCCCCTGGTGGACAAACATGGCAATTGAAAATCCCATACCGATGGGGGTTTCTAATGGAAAAACCATCTACAAATGGTGAATTTTCAAGTGCCATGTTGGACTGCAGTGTGTGCCGTAAACAATTAAAGCAGCTGGGCACCATTCCTCCGGCACGTAACGAGTTCGGACAAATGGATCATGTATTGTTCGCCGACGCTTGCTCTGTGATTTCGTTGAATGGTGCGCGCAAGCGTCGAAACCCAGTTCTTCGTGTTGAAATGGAGTAGGACCGAATTTCCCCCCCAATGAATACAGAAAATGCTGCGCTGATGCAACAACTGGTCCTGGATTGTTGAAGTCCGTAAAGTGGGCTACACGAGCGCACAAGTACCTGTGCAATTCGAGCTCCTATGTTTGTACTTCGCCAGCCGTTGCAAGGTGTTGTCTTGGCATCACAGTCTCAATGTGCTGGAGAAATGGTGGTTCGCCCGAGACCACATTGTGGACACAGGTGTGTGGGTTTCTTTGATCACAGCCTATCACCTTCAGCAAACCCAGGAATGTGAAAAACCAGTAAATCCCCTTAATGAAATACCTCCATCATATCCCAATCTATTCATCATGATTTCTTGCTTCAGCACCTAATTACCATTTTTCATGGTTATATAGTTATATATATATACTGTATAAATATATATATATATATATATGTGTGTAAAAATCGTATACGACTATCTGAATATAAACTACCCCATTTCATCCCATGGCCAATGGTCATTTCAATTCAATGGCTTAAAATTGGGTGAGTTCTCCTCCGGTATACCCCATTTCCAGACAGCCCCAAGTCCATACTGATTCATTTGGTAATTCACCATTTTGTTTGCTAAATACCTATATACTGTTGATGGTTCACTACAGTATTTAGGGTGTTGATTAATGTTGTCCCATGATGATCCCATTAATCATCATTCCATGTTTATGCTATATATTATCCCGTATGCTAATCTACCCTTACCAAAGAATCAAGTGATAATCCCAAATTATTCTGTGATAACCAAACCAATTAGGAAAATAGTGGGGTTTATTACCCCATACTTCACAATGCGCCTCTCTGCTGCTGCCGCTGCATCATGAAGTGCGCCCTTCTGACGTCCCTGCGAAGTTCTTCGAACTTCCATTGAATTTGTCATAGCCAGACTGGTTGGTGGTTTTAACAATCTTGAAAAATATGAGTTCGTCAATGGGAAGGATGACATCCCATATATGAAATGGAAAATAACATTGATGTTCCAAACCACCAACCAGCAGAGAGTCAGTGGAAAGTTGGGTGCCTGAGACTTAAGATATCCAACCATCAATGACGAGGCAAATTGAATCGTCGCCAATGAATATATGATTTGCAGACCACACGCGTTGCAGAAGTCAACCCCCCTTGGACCCTCATTGCATGCAAGAATCATGCAAACATGACATCAATGACATCCCCCAAAACCCTCAGATTTTTGTTTTCCCATCCACCACGAGTTTGACCCCCGCCAACTTCCAGCGGCGCCTCGCCATCTGGACCTACACCAGGTCACAGGGGAGTTATTTTCTGATTTCACCATGAAAATATGAGGATGGGAATTTAACTGAGAAAATATGAGGAGAATGGATGATAATGTGGAAAACCCAGTGCCGTAAACAACTAACATGTGGGAATGATAGTTACCACTCATAAGAAATGCTGATTTTTGGGATGATCTATTTTTGTTTTACCACATTAAACCCCTAACCAACCGTCAGATGGATCATGGTTTGATAGAAATAATCATGGGAGTTGAAGCCGGCATGCCCAATTTTTCTTGAGTTTGTGGCATAAACCTGCTTGTCAATCATGATTTTCGCATTCCGGTTGATTGCAACAAGCACTTGAAATCCAGCAGAGCCACTATCGACCTGACAGCATGGACTGCTGTACCCGAAGTTCCCGAGAAGTCCATCACCGGGTAGTCATCGAAGTAGTTGGTACACAGAATACCCGCTTCTATCAAGATTCTCCAACCCAAGCAAGCAACTCTGTTGAAGGCCAGAACCGCAGCAGCTGCGCCGAAAGGTAAAGTCCTGCTGACAAACCCAAACACCTCATCCGACTTTGGGTCCTTGATACATATCACTGACCTCGTCTTTTCCAACGGGTGAATTGCCAACTGCTTGTAAGCTGACTTGAGGTCGACTGACTTCGTTAGAATCTTCTGTCTCAGCATCCCAGGGTCGTACGTTTGCTGCGGGAATGTATGGCAACAATTTTGATGAGATGTGACGACCTATCTCTTGCCACCTATAACATAGCAAACTGCTAAATTGCCAGTCATGGGGTGCGATATATTACTGGTGACAGCCAAGGCTACACCATCTATGAGTATCCCTCTTAATGAGCGCCCCCGACCCTCAGGGAAGAAATATATACAGCCAGTGCATATATACATTTTTTTTTATTTATTTGTTTATTTAATCATTTATTTACACATAAACATTTAGGTATAGTGAGGATAATTTTTATCTACGCCTAGATCGATGTCTATCTACCAATCTATCTATGAACTAAATATGTGTATACCCATGATCCATATTTATTTATATATACCAAATCACAAAAAGAAACAATTTCCACACTATAAATACATGAACAAGTACATCAATAAAGATTCAACAGATATGCATATCGATTATCCACACCTATATATATATATATATATATGTATAGACAAAATATACACAGATATATCATAGACAAACCCATCCATCCATATATATTATATATATATATATGCATATATCTCCAAAAAGTATATCCCCACTATAATCAAAAAACATAGATTTATCCACATTGCAAATCCATGTGTGTATAAATCTGAGGGGTATAGTTACTGTAGATATACCATATTCAAAAACCAAAAATATTTATACCATTAGCTATTCTTTAAATTGCCAACGGTGATGCTACATATATAAATATATCATTGAAAAACACACTAGATCTATCATTTGAAAACCCATTAATCTACATATCCATTATCCGCATACATAAATACACACACACACATATATATATATATTACAAGGGCCCATGTTTGTGAAGCCTGTTTCCTGCAAAAAAAACGTCTTTTTTTGGAACTGCTTGATTGCGCTTTTGCTGCGGCTCGCTGCGCAGCACTGCACACAGCCTCAGTCAAGCACCTATGGTGGCCATGAATGTGAGGAGGATGTTAGGTGTCGTGGCGGGGTACTTGAATCGACGACTGTTTGGGTATGTCTTTTGTTGTAGGGTACAACCCTAGGAGCCACTTGAAAGAATCTTCATAGAGCTTCGCAGTGCAAGTGACAACAAACACCGATTCAAGCCCATTCGCTCCCATTTGCATGCTGGGCCGGGTCTTGCCTGCTCTGTTGCCAGCCTGAGTTATCCCTCAATCGCCACCGACCAAATTATCAGGAATTAGGAACGCGAGGATGCGGAAACTGCACCAGAATGACAGGGTTCCTGAGAAATGTCGGTGGGAGATAGAATAATATTCTCCAAAAGCAAAATCTCAGGAACGCTGCCATTGTGGTAAAAACGTGATTTTGGACACAAAAGTGAAAGTGCCTCCCATTGTGGTAAAACAGGGATTCTGCAACATAATCCCCAGTGAATGGCCCGACAACCCCTCTCGCAGTGTTACTCGTAGTCTCCAGTCCTACTAAACAGACTCGGACATGTTGGCTGCTAGTTGTGTGTTGGCACGGTACCTCTGAGAGCCAGACCTTTTTCCAGCAGTATGCGTGCAACAACGGACATCACCCGGCACTGGTTCTGGTGCCCCGAAAAGTCTGCATTTCTTGCTTCACACTTGTGGCCCCCCATGGTGTTGCATCTCAATGTCTACTTGCAGGCAACGGTTGCGCTTCTGAGGGCACAATCCAAGCAAGCTCGCTTAAGCGTAGCGCATCTTGCACCTTTTTGCCCGCACCACCCCAACCTCTAGTGGCCTCGGTTGCACCGGCTCAGGACAAGCGGGTGGTTCATGAATTGAGCAAGCCTGGAACGTAACTGTGAAGCCCGGCACCAATGCCATGAAAGGAACGTTGCCACTTCGGGGCTGCGAACCACAATCAGGCAGCATGGCCCGCTCAGAGCTGAGGTTGGCCGTCAGGGTCGGCTTGACGTAGTTCCTGGTATTTTCTTTTCAGCCATAATTTGGAAGCTGCGACAGCAAAGCCGTCAAGTGGTTGGACCAATGCAGCGCCTGTGTGGGTGTGCGGGGTGCTCGCCCTTCCACGGTCCCTTTGCAACTACGCATCCTCGAGGACATTTTGGGTTGTAGAGCATATTGGTCACAGCACATTCTTGCCGCTGCTCTCATGCTTCTGTTTCAAATATGCTAAAGTCAGCCAAAACACCGTCACCTGCCATTGGCGCAGGGCAAGGTGGGAGAGGAACCTGGACCCAAACGCACGGGATTATATAAACCTTGATGAGGGAAGGGATTGGAGAGCCTAGAATCTGGCACCCAAAAAGTGTGCCCCCGCCCAGGGTCCCAAAAATGGGGCCGCAAAACCGCCCACTTGCCCAGCCCTGGTGCGCAAAGTGTCCAGGGCTAACGCATCTTGTAGCTTACCCCTGCGCAGCCGCCATCGCTGCCGCCACCGGGCAACCCATTTATTGGCAGACCTTCCCACCCATACTCGCAGAGGCACTGTCGCGTTCAAATTGGTGGAAGCCGGCAGCTGCGTTTGTTCTCAGCCAGCGCTCCCTTTAGTTGCTGCAGCTCCATGCATGCGAGAAAGGCTAGAGAGCGAAAAGAGATGAAACAGCCTGGCATGCATATATGTGTGACCTCGAGTTGAGCGGCCTGGCTGCCATATGAAACGACATGGTGTTGCACTGCTTTTCATGTAGGTCCTTGTCTGCAGGAACGGTGACTGCAAACAAAGTACAGCCCCATGCTCCCTATTTCTGGCTAGGAACCCCTTGCGCAGCCTGCGTGTCCTAGCCTGGCTGCGGCGTGTGCAGTGATTGCACCCCGTGACAGCTACCCAACACCACCATCGGCTATGCATGGATGAAGGCCATGACTGCCAAGTGCAATTTCAAATCCTTCACGCATGCAAAGAGGTACAGTTGCGATACGCTCTGGTTAATCCTGAGCACAAACATGTATTTCCATAGTATATATATAACATATACATGCAAACCCACACCCACACACATATCATATACAGATGCTCATAGATATGGAATGCCATATATAGATCTATCATCGTCAATGGACAATTCATCAAATTCATAATCAGACCATCCCCAAAATCATAGCTGGGTGCTATGAACCATCAAAACCCATCAAAAATGGTACCCCCGTTCCATAGAAAAAAGTGGTAGTATCACCATTGTTTTACCCACCGCATTATTATTATTGTCATTGATATTATTACAAGGTGGTGCCCCACCAGTTATACATTGGTTTATAAACCCCATTAACTATAGATATATCACCTATAAACCATAGTGAAATTGGAGTCATGTGCACCAACTTAGCTATCTTTGGGGCACCACCTTGTATGATACCATCCACCAAGAATGCTCCAAGAGTAACGCCTCACCGTTTTCCGGGATCGACCATAGCTACCATAGGCTGGGTGAAGCAACTGGATGGCTATACATACTGAAATGGGAGTTATGTGCAACAACTTAGCTATGATAAATCAGCTATAAATCCCATTAAATCTCATGTGCTATGGGGGCCTTCTATATAAATATGTATATAAATATATGTATACACACACATACACACATAGTAACGCGCCTAGCAATCCCTCGTAGGCGGCGCCCGCCAGGGAACTCGCCACCGAGGCGGCGGAGCTGAAGGGCGTCAGATACCTCGGTGCCAACGGCGGTTCCTACGGAGGTCCTGTGGTCATGGGTGGAGCAAACAACGTGGTGAAGTTTGCCATTTTACCTGGGAAAAATGCTGGAACATGGAAAAATGATGGAAAAATGCAGTTTCAATGAAGATTAGCAGGAAAAATGGAAGTGTAATGCAGTTTTATGAAGTTTGCCAGGGAGTTTCATGGAATTTGGTGGCCCGTAGATAGCTAACTTAGGTTCAAGGTAGCAGCAAAGTTGGTGATTTAGTGGGATTTAATGGAATGTAGTTGGCTAAGTTGGTTTACAACTCCTTTAACTTTTGGGTTTGCAGTAGATGTATGGAGGTAGATGATGGTTATATGCAATGTTTTTCAAATAACATATGAGAAATATCTGACAGAAATGGGATTGCTTAAAATGTTAAGCTGGTTGAAACATGAAATGTTAATTGGCTAAACAACTAAGATGGTTAGAAAATCGAACATCCACAAGGCATGTTTAAATATTATTTAAGAATTGAAAAAAGGTACAAATCATGCAAGTCAATGATTTGTTTTCATGTCTGGTCAGGAGCCTTCAGCTATATCTTGGTTATATAGATTCTATATTTGGCTATATCAATCTCAGTTTGCTTCAACTATAAGCAGATATGGACCTATCATGATCGCTTGGATCATCCCTTCACCTTTGTGGACTGAAAGTTAAACAGTGAACCCATAAAGGACAGCATTCAGCACCCAGCTCTGAGAGTGAAACATGAAGTTTTTGACAAAAGGGTACCGCGTGCGGCCTGTGGACAAAGCTAACCAACCAAGCATGCGCACTAGACCTAAAACAATCCCGTGGTGCAAGCGAGCTTTTATGCATGCATATATGTGCGCGAGCACATCTATGTATACATTTTAATTCACACACGCACACACACACATATATATATATATAAAAACTCTCTCTCTATATATATATATATGTAACTGTATATATATATATATGTATTTTTAAATGTATATATGTAAATAAATAAATAAATAAATATATATATATAATATGTATGTATATTATATATATATATATGACCCAGCCCTCCCAGTCCGCCCCGCCCCCCCCAAAGGGTTTGGGTCTAGAGGTCCAGGGGTGGAGATGATCCCCTGGTCCAGGGGTGGAGATGATTTTTTGTGGGTGGGTGGGGGTGGGTATGTAACTACGGGAGTATGTAATATTTGCCCATGAGGGATTACTGTACTTCTACAGATCCATGAGGTCTATGGGGATATGTGATCATATATATAGTGATGATCCCCATATGGGGGTGCATATTGCGGGTAAAGAAATATATAGATATGTATGAGCTCATATAGGTATATAGGTACCGGTGACGTCTCCCTCCCCCCTGTGGGGTAGGCATGGAAGTAAAGGATATGTATATATATATACACACATGATTACATATACAGTAGATATATAAACGGAAATATGTAGTGGGGATTCTCTCTGACCCCCCCTCCCCCTGTAACAATTTTTAGGGGACGTGTCTACACAATGCATGACAGTTTGCATTACATGTGACATGTTCACTATAATTCATTGTTACCACTGCGCCACTCCGTGGCTCAAAACTTGCTCGCACAGCAGAGAAAAGAGTGTAACGTGCCGCCTCGTTGGCCACAAGTGTTACAACTCTTTAGTTGGGATCTAGAGCCCCCTGAATACCGGGGATTGCTACCTCAAAGTGGTAGCAGAGCATAAGCTGAGCGTTCCTCATGCGCATTTCAAGATTTTGCTACATGTTACGGCACGAAGACAATTTATGTCTGTTTTGTAACCAACTTTAGGGGACGTGTCTACACAATGCATGACAGTTTGCATTACATGTGACATGTTCACTATAATTCATTCATGTACCACTACACCACTCCGTGGCTCAAGGCTTGCTCGCATGGCAGAGAAAAGAGTGTAGCGTGAAGCCTGGTTGACCACAAGTGTCACAAACCCTTTAGTTGGGATCTAGGGCCCCCTGAATACCAGGGATTGCTACCTCACCCCTCGCTCCCTGTGGGTGGGTGCGGTCCGGTGTGTGAGGGCTATATTGACACAAGATAGTATAAGATACTAGGTATGCGTAGGTATATACTGTATAATGTGTATATATATATATTTGATATATATATTTTTTTTTTTTGATATATATATATATATATTAAATATGCAAAAAAAGAAAGTACAGATACATGATAGGTAGTAGACATATAGAATAGAATATAGGAAGCATATAGGTAGCATGTAGATAGTATATATATATATATAGACCTATAGATTGTCTCTACATAGCATTTAGATAGTATATAGGTTTTATGTAGATAGCCCATAGATAGTAAATATATAGCATGTAGATAGTATATAGGTAGTATACAGGCATAAGATATAGCAAGATGGTTTTTAAAGGGTATATAAGGGATTGTGTATATGTAGGAACAGGTCGTACGTAGGGAGTTTGACTTTAGTATGTGCATTGCATGGGTAGATATGCCAAGAGGTACCATACCAGCAAAACACGAGGCCGAGGGGTATTCCTGAGGGACCCAACCCATTCGGGGGGTGGGTCTCGTGGGCGGGAGACGGGATCATATACACACAACATATAACAATAGATTATATGTTAATATATGTTTAAAAAATCACATGCGCGGATGGTTCATCCTGTACAATCCTGCTATTTAATTAATCTGGTTGGTGGTTTCAACCCTCTGAAAAATAGTAGTCAGTTGAGATGATTATTCCCAATATATGGCAAAACAAAAAATGTTCCAAACCACCAATCAGTAGTGCCTGTCTTCACCTCGTTTTCACCTTGAATACCTTGACGGCAGTCAACGGACCCCGCCATTCGACCTCGTTACCGCATCACCATGGCGCGGATGCGCCGAGGCTCACCGGATGGCCATCGGTTGGCGGGTTACTTGGATCTCTAGATCTCCCTATTGAAACATTTAATTGTTTGGGAAAATTACAAGACATTTTCCATTTTTATGTTGTGTACCCAAGTTCCAGAAACAAAGCTTCAACTAGCAAAATGACACATGTATGAATCATGTGTGTATATCAAAGGCTGCTGAACATGTGTCGGGACTCGTTGTCATTTCTGCATGGGGCAACTGCGCTCAGTACGAACCATTGCTTTTATGCGGCTCGTTACTTCGATTGTGATACACAGCCACTTGTCATCCGCACGAGACTTTGCAGACTTGAAAACCTCAAGGCTGTGATGCTGAGCAATATGATGTACTTGCCCTCCCTCAGCTTATTGACACTGATGGCTGAGAGAAATGGCCAGGGAAAACTCCCGACTGCCACCTACCAATGCAACATTCCAATCAAGCTGGAAAAAATCAATACAACTTGATTACAGCTTGAGGAAACCTGGGCCAGAACCAAGAGGAATCTTAGGATATGCCAATGACAAAACATGGGCAAAGCCACCTGAGTCTGGGCAGGAATTCTGCGAACGAAAAAAGATGGGGAAGAAATCAAAAGCCCAAAAGGAAATTATTGGGTATGAATGCAACCAGCCGGATTTGCCGTCCCAAAGAAACAAACTGTCGAGAATCCAGCACCTTTGACTTCCAAAAATTCTGCATTTTACAGATATGGGGGGCATGTTTTGCTGTATTGCATGGCTTTGAATAACCATTAGCCAGTTTTGATTTGGCATCTGCTCAGGGACAGGTGAGATCCCCAAAGATTAGCCGTGGGATGCTGGCATGTGTTGCACGTGGTCGTGTTCAAAAAACATGCGATGTGAAAACCATTAATCTATCATTTTCTTTGAAATCAATTTATGCTTATAGTGGGGATGATTCATTATGGTTTATTATTGGGTCTTTGTCTACAGGCGCGTGCACGTGAGTGCATCTATCTATCTGATGCTATCTGACTATCTATCTACTATGTGCTACTTATCTATCCACTGGGCCATGTCTGCTTCCCTTGGACGTGCGACAGCCACCACAAATTTGCCGGAAGCACGGTCACGCCCCCTGGCAATGCCAAAAGGACGGAAAATTCAGGGGAAATCAAGCGCAGGGCATACCAGATTGCTAGTTGTTTTTATGGACTAGTCACATTTTTTCCTGTAAGACACTGCAATGAATAAATGATAACCGGGGGATTGGAATCCTCGATGAACACGAAAAAATCGTCAGTTGACCTACTGACTCCGCCCACCTTTTTGGTGAATCGTTGTCAATTCACCATATTGGATAGGAATATCAGGCCTAGACCTAGACATGGGAATCCTGTATGATTTCCTTCCATGTTCATGTACCAAAGGGATCCATTTCTTTAAGGGATCCAAAGGGTACTTTGATCATGATAAATTCACATGTTTGCCAGACCAATTCCTATTTTTTGCTTGTGCTAAGCCATCTTGTTTGAATAGCTGGACCATGTCGGATTCACCTGTTTGTTGGCTTGGAGTTATTCGCCAAAATTTGTTTTGTTGGTCACCCAACGGTCTGATATTGGTAAAGACTATCCAATTTCAAGATCACAAGCTCGAATTTCAAGATCATATTCTATCATTTCATCATTTGTTTAATGATTTTTTGCTGATAACTCC